GTGTCCCGTTTCCGTATCAAATCTCGACGTCGTTCGTTGGTCAGTTCTGAGTCTGACGTGGATGGTCTCAGCCGCGTGGCTCTTTCCTTATGCTCATCTTCACTCCGTATTCGGTAGTGGAAGCCCTTCGCTTCGTAGTGATCGAAGCGCTGGCACTCCGTGCACAGGGTTCGAGGCCAATGGGGTGCCACTGCCGTCCACGGAATGACGATCAATTCGTTAAATGGCAACAATATTGAGTAGGGTGGAAAGTGCGTATCGATAATGACAAACCCAGCGTCTACGAACCCTGAACAATGGTTGGCCGGAGGGAAGTAATATTGCTCGCCGATCTGTGCGACAGCTTCTCGTACGTCCCACTCACATACACGGGTCCTTTCCTCGCTGTAGGGAAAAGGTCGTGTTGAGATGGGAGATACAGGAGGCTGGCGCCCGATCGAAGGGTGCTTGTCAGTCCACATGTCAATCAACCGCAAATATCCAGAGATGTCATCAAGAACAGAAAGCACTCGCGCAACCCCCAATCAATCCTTTTCGACACAAAAGAGAGAAAACACACATCTGCTAGATCATACGTATGGCTAAGGGACCGATCCGCGACTCAGTTTTGGTGAGCCAACACAACGTTGGTCTTCGGCGCCTTGTTTCTCAAGGTCGCCCGCTGGCTTGGCTGCTGATGTCGTGCAGCATAAGGCAGATGACATGCGCAGTGCATTCGAAACTACAGATCTAAACACTTGCATTCTCGAGCAAAATCCCGACAGCAATCGTCTAATCAACACAAAAAGAGTCACACATCTCCACGCATACATTCACTGTGGAAGGTACGAAAAAATGGGACATGCACAGGAAAAGATGGATCGTATTGCACAGTACACACGCATCCACCATTCACAAGACAAGAAGACGGGGTCCTTGCATAGGAGGATTACCAAGGAAACTAATGGAAGAGTTCCGGAAGAAGTTCTTTCACACAAAAGCAGGAGGCCAACTCATTCCCA